AATATCTCAAAAATAGGTATAAAAATGTATCTAAAAACACTATATATTTTAGGTGTATCAAGTATTGAAGGAAATATTTGATGTACAACAAGGAGTTTTATGTTATTTTGAGAGCCCTTTTTTGATCACTAGAGCCACTATCTACTAACGAGCGAGTTCACCTTATTCCATGATCATGAGGCTTTAAAATTCTTGAATATCCATAGTAAAATAATTGGTTGACACGCATCTTGGGTAGAGTTCTTGGTGTCATTCCAATTCATGCTTAAACACAAGGTATGAAGCCAAAACCATATAGCAAATGCACTGAGCCATTGTCACTTGCTAATCACTTTGATGCAAACTCGATTTATAGGTTTTGAAGTAGTAAAAAAGTTATATGAGACAAAGAATGACTTAAAAGGGATCTAGGAGCATGTTAAGGAGAATCCCACTAAGAAGTACTATAAAGCTGATGGTTAACTATTCTGCCAGAATAAGTTGTTCATTCAAAGATGTTCGTTGAAGGAGTACATTGTTTAAGAAAGTGTGAAGGACTTGCAGGACACTTCGGCAAAGATAAAGCCCGCACTCGTGAAAAAACACTTTCATTGGCCTCGACCAATGAGAGATGTGGAGCAACGCATAAGGTGATGCCAGATTTATCATATAGCCAAAATCAAGGGACAGAATGCAGGAATATACACTTCATTACCAATGTCAGAGATGTCGTGGGCAGATGTCAGCATGGATTTTGTGGAAGGTCTCCCAGGAATGCAACGGAATAAGGATTTCATAAAAGTTGTGGTGAACAGATTCTCAAAGATGACGCACTTCATACCCTGTCACTGGACGTTGGATGCATCGCATGACATTGATTTATACGTCAGAGATGTACTGAGACTCCACGAGATATGCAGAACCATCTCTTTCAACAATGATGTCAAGTTTATGGTCACATATAGAGGCGTTTATGGGAAAAGTTCATCACCAAGCTTCAATTCAGTTCAGCAACTCGCCGACAAATGTAGTAAATAAGAGTTTAGGGAATCTTCTGATGTGCTTTGTGGGAAAGAATATTAAGTAGTGGGATTTGAATCTAGCTCAAGCCGAGTTTGCTTACAATAGATCTGTGAGTCAGACCACAAGACACTTCATTTGAGATTGTGTCAAGCGCAACTTGCCCATTTCACTTTACTTGACACCTCTCCTAACAACATCAGAGATTAGTGAGGATGCTGAGGAACAGATGCAAGATATTCAAAAGTTACATGAGGAGGTGGGAAAGAAGATCACTAAGCAGAATTGCAAGTACCAGGCACAAGCAAACAAGACCAGAAAAATGATGACTTTTCAAGAAGACCTAGTATGGATTTGGTTGAAAAAAGATAGGTTTCCCATGGGAGCTTTTAGCAAACTCAAGCCCAAAGCAGATGGATCTCTTAGGATTCTCAAGAAGCTAAACAACAATGTCTACATTATCAACCTTTTAGGGAACTACAATATTTCTGCTACCTTCAATGTAGGTGATTTAACTCTATGCTTTAAGGATTTAGAAGCTTTGATAATTGAATTCAAAGCTCCCCTAACCTCAGGAGACTGACGCGGGGTGTATGAGGGCTGAACCGTTTCAGCCTAGGGTTACAAGGGACTAGCAAGTCCCTTGCCTTAATTGAAATTGCCGCCCAAAGAGAGCTTTTCCTCCCTAGCAATCTACTACTATATCTATTTCATGTTCTCTGCTTAAGGTTTCAGTTTTCCTGATTTCATATTTCTTGCAATCAGTGTTTCTCCCTTGTTAGGGCTATTCGAGGACAAGTGGTGCTCCGGCTGTATCCTGCTCCATGGTGGTGACTATCTCCCCATTAGCCCCCTCGCCTACCTTCCCTTCTTGCCACCTACCTATTGTGCATCTATTTTTCCATTCTTCCCTAAGAAAGCCCCTCCAATCCTCGATCAAGCTACCGCCACCCTCTCCTCCTTCCACTTCGACTACCACAATCCTACACTGCTCTCACAATTGCTGCCGCAAATCACACCTACGCCTACTACTGTTGTAGATTCTCCATAGTAGACCCTTTGTGCAGCCGCAAGACCCCTTCCAATCCCTCATTTTGTTATTGCCTCTCCTAGTAGTCACCCCTGTCACTACCGCAACCCCTCCAATACCCACTATTGTTGCCGCAAATCGACTCCAGACAGCCCATCTGCTGTCCCGCCGATGATTGCCACTTCATCCTCACCCTTGGGGAATCGTTCATGCTTTGGTGCTATTTTATTTCCTTTTTCAAACATTTTTGTAATCTCTTTGAGTTTTCTACAGTAAGATTCACCTTCTACTATTTTTCAAATTAACTCCGGTATCAACTTCATCAGTAAGATTTGACATATATAAGGTGCCTCACAAATATACAAATGCAAAATGTGCCCATATGAGATAAATACTTTTTAACATTAAATTTTTGCACGATATCATAAGGCTCCAGCTGGTGTAATGTGTAAACTATAAGGAGACGTTAAGATAGATAGCTTTAACCCTAAAAATTTTTGGAAGCTATGCTCATGAATGAAACTCTAGACTTTAAGATAAAAATAGAGAGATAACTTTGCTCCTTAGTTCAAAAGTTTATCAAGAAAAAATACATATATACAAAGAGCCAAATAAGTTAGAAAATTTTAAAATACTCAAAAGCTTTCTGTTTCTCTAAAAATAAAAAAAAAAGAGTTGTCAATAGAAAAACATTACAAGAAATTTCTAAATAAAAATGAAAAATGTTACTGTAATTTATTCATTTTACCTCTTCCTTTTTGAAAAAACGAATCTTCTTTTTCGGCCCAGATGTTCTTTCTGATATCTCTGATTCCTTCAATTGCAAATCTCTCAGTGTGCCAAGGGCATCCATTTCTGTTTCCAACTTATCCTTCTTTTTCTTAAATGATGCAAAGCGCCAATTTAACCTGACATACATTAGGTAAAAAAAAGAAACTATAAAATTTCAGAAAAAAATACATACCCTCAATTGTACTTTCGTCCCACTTATTTGACCTTGCTTCCATCCCACCACTTAACCCAACACTACTTAACCCACCACTCATTGTGCCCAACATTGACAGAAGTATTCCATTTTTGGTAACCACTGCATAAGAAGATTTTGCAAATGAAAATAAGTAGAATATTTGAGCTCACAAAGAATACCAAATGAAGTATTAGAATATCATTTACCCTTCCGCCTCTCCCTACTCAAGCTAAGAATTTTAGCTTCTTCAAAATCATCACATACCAGGGTATTCCCAACAGCAAATAAGACAACCCTATCCAAAGATTGATCAAATGTATAGTTGTTAAGTTGAATTATTTAACATGAAATCTCAATAAAGTGAATGGCTAATGGAGAATCATCATCATCATTTTAATTAGTATTATTAATCATCATACTTCTTTTATTCCAGGTAAATGCTACAAGAATTAAAGAAATTTTGTGCAAATCCATCTAACCCAAATGTCACCTTAGGTCTAAAATTTCTAATTCCTAATACATTGGCATTAAATATAATTAACCCCTCTCACAAATGCATCTTCCATCCTATATTGAAATGGATTTCTCCCATATAAAAATAATGGCCTTAACTCTGTACCCCAAACTAGGAACTACATGTCAAATATTTTACCTTAAAACATCAGCGGACATTCTAAATGCAAAGAATCTATCAGAAATCAAATTTTTTTGCAACTTGAAGTAATACTATTAAAACTTTTATTATAGGACATTGTATTACATAAAATACGAGCCCCTCAGTACCACCCAGTGTGCGCAATTTCTCATTTATTGGTTTCACACGAACAGATTGCAAAGGTATGAAAGTCTGTGGAGGGAGACGTTGCTCCTTCAATTACTAAACATAAAAAAGAATGATTAGTAATGGTTTCATTACTCCTAGAAATGTCCTTAAAATTATGACACATATATAACATAAATAGAAAGTCAATGCTCCAAGTAACTCAAAATGTATTGGAGAGAGATAGCTACTCTCCATATGCTAAAGCTAAAACTTCATATTTGACAATTATCTCACCATAAAAAAAGCTCAATTCTCAATCCATTAAACATTTTATGCCTTGTAATGACAAAATACCAATTGCTTACAAGTATTTTGAACATGTAAACTATTAAGATTTCATGTTCGAAATTTAAACATTTGTGAACACAAAAATATATTTCTGCATTATTTCAATGCAATACACTTGAATTTCCATTCACAAACATAATCTAAAATACAAATAAAGAGAAAATATCACGCTTTGGTTTAGTAACTACCATCAAATAAAAATAAACAATGTACAAGAGAAAAATTAACTTTTGAATTCTTAAAAATAATATCAAATCTGAAAATAAGATGCACATTCTTCAAGCGTAAGGTTGCCCTTATCATTTTGTCCCTAACTCGACGAGCATTGCTAGAGCATACACACTATCTTTAGTGCACGCACACATACAAACGTATTCTCTTATGCCACAAATTGGAGCATGGATACATGCTCTTACTATCTAGAAACAACATAAAGGTGTTATATTAATGAGGTTTTTTATCTCTACAATGACTAGTGATTTCTATCAGCGAATTTCATCAATTGCTTTCACCTAGTGCAAGTTTATGCTACAAATTTCTCTTAGGTGACTATTTCAATTTTTTTGACTTTGGTCTTACATGTAGATTCAAAAATTTATTTCAGTGTTTCCCTTTCTTAGATTCTTTTAATTCTCTGGATTGCTCCTCTGTTGGCTGACTCCAACGAGCATTATTTTTGTTGTTAAAAAATGATGCAAACAGTGGCTCAGTTGATTGCAATGTTTTGATGAAGGACACACTTTACTAGTTTGGTTCTAACTTCATCTGTTTTAATCCTAAGATGTTTTTTTTCCCCACCTTTATTTAATGCTTTAGTTGTAACAATATGTTCAATAATATCCTATACATGCAAGAAATCCAAAATTTTCATTTTATTATTCCTATTATTATTATTATTAAAAGACACTTATAAAAGCTTTTTGGAATTCTGAGTTAAAACTAACATTGCTTGCTATTCAATAAAGTGATTTATAGTAATTATTTAAATTTTAGCTTAGATGATAGCGCCCTGGTTTGTTTTGCATGTTATGGTTTCAGGTTAAACTTCCTTGCAATATTGCATGCATTCTTTTAATGTTATGATCCTAAATTTAAGTTTAATAATTTCTTAAGCGCACACGGACGTTTAGAGATCTAATAATTAAATTTATAATTGCAAAAAACTTGTTTAAGTAATTTAAAATAAATATTTACTAATCCGATCTCTTCTCAAAACTTTATAGTGCTACAAAGGATGTTGACTATTTTAATGCCTTGCTCCCATTACATTGTAAGATTTAAGGGGCATTTACATCCATAACACCAAATCTTATGTATTTACACATCTAATGAAACTTCCACATTTACATGCATAACACACAAAAATTATTAATGGTCATCAAAACTACCACTAAAACTTACTTTTTAAAAGTGAAATACACCTTTACATGCATAATTTTTATGACAACAAAGGGTTACAAGTGTAAATATCAAGCTTTAGGTGTTAGATATGTAAACACACAGGAGTTTTGTGGTATGTAAGTAAATTTTCCAAAATTTTAATGTGATTATTAGTTATTAAGTGTGCACTTCAATTCATTGAACTGCACGCTTTGTTTGTACCTCAAGATTTAGTAGCAGTTTACAAATTGACAGCCCTGCTCATGAACTAAAAGTTCCTGCAGCTGAAAGAGAATTTAAGGAGACAGGATATCTCACGCAACAGTCTCCTAGTATTTTATCATTTAGTAATGCCATCAGCCATTCTAAACAAGTCATACAACCATTCGGGAAACGATGGTCAAGCTGAAATTCAAAAAGGATGCATCCCAACCTGAAAAAAGATAAATTAAAGCAAAAAAACATCTAATATCAAGCTTCTAGGGGCTATATGTTCCCCAAGTTTAGCAATTTGTCCCAGCCCATCCAATAAGAAATGTTTGAGTGATTCAAGGGAGTGACCAGCCCAGGTGGTCTTTTTACAATTCAGTGAGAATGGGAAAGCAAGAGAAATGAAGGCAAAATACTTCCTAGATCAAAAAGAAATCATGAAAAAAAATCAAATGAAAGGTCGAGCAATTAATATTAACAGCTCTGGCATCAATACTCATCGTACTTTTGACAATTTATCCGTTAATACTAAACAAAAAAGGAGTAACTTTGTTTCAAATTGTTAGTACCAAACAAAAAGGACTAACTTGTTTATAGAAACCAGTACTTCTCAGTCCATATCATTACCAGGAGTGAAAGGTATAACAGCGGCCAAGCCACCAACAGAGATTAGAAAGTTATAGTTATTTTCTCCACTCCAGCTGACAAATCAAACTTCCAACAGTATTCACATGAATGGCAACGATAGAAACATTTTCAAACAATATAAATGAAAGAAAGATCGCAAGTTTCATTTGGCTTACCTTAATGCAGTCTTTTCCTTTATTTTCGTCTTCTACAACTATAGCATCCATAAACAGCAAGGTTAAACTTTTTCTGTGAGGGCCTGCCAAGTTCAGTCATATCCGACCATGGACTCCAGAAAAAAACACTAGGTCTTATCAGCAAGAAAGGTGTTCATGCAAAGTGCATCAACTCCTTACGAAAAGGAGATACACTCGGTAGTGTAAAGTTCTAATAAAATAAGTTATGCCTCACAGGAACAGAAAGAGGCCCCACATATAACCATCTATTTGCTTGAAAAAATAAATAAAGGAAGAAGAAGCGGTTGTGTTCATTAAAACTGCCTAAAACTACGAAAAAATATTACATCAGTACTACGCACGTAGAGTAACATGCGTAGCCAATAAAATAACGCCACGACAC